CTGCGACCCCGCTCCGCGCCACACTGCGCTCCCGCGGATGCCCCGCCGGCCCTGCGCCGCGGCCGTGTTTGCACTCTGCCCCGCGGCTCCCGCCGAGGAGGAGGAAACCAATGTTCATGCCCGTATTCCCAAGCGCTGTTGGACTGGCTAAAAGCTGGCCGAGGTGTTGTGTGGTTGATTTAATATCTTCATGTCCGTTAAGTTATGTGACCTTTTTCCCAGCTAAGATTTATTAAACGAGTATTGAAATATTCTTTGATGCCCTGAGTAATAAGGGTAAGGTATTTTTACCTCAAGGTAAAAATAAAAACATATTTGGCTGCAGGCCTAAGCAGCTATTTAAAGTTATAAGAACAACTGAGTAAACAGCCTCTAACAAAACCTCGCATATTTTGTCGGTCTCTGTAACTTCCTCTCCTTTTGCCTAATACTGTCACACTAATGCCGAAGTTCTTTAGGCTGAGCTATTATTTTTGAAAAACTGTAAACATCTGCTGAAAGTTTTTTTAGGCTGAGCCATTGTTTCTGAAAAACTATAAACATCGGTGTAGTACATGACCTAGTTTGCTGGGAACATAACTATCAGATGACTAGTTTATTAGTGGGTTGATGTTTTAGGGAGGAATGATTAACTGCATTGCGTGGAATGGTTTTGTTACCTAATATCTACTTAGTGGAAGATTATTAACATTTTTTATAGCATGTAATTTCCCTTGCATATGAATGTAGCTATATTTTAAAGTACATTGTACATAAACTAAGGTATCAGTATTATTTAAAAGGTGCAAAATATAAAATAACCCTAATAAAGATCACTCACAGCCGCACTTGCATGTAACTTATTTTTCTCACATTGGGACTTTTCATACAGTCTGTTTCGTCCGCACTGAACAACATAAAAGGTGTTTCCTCCTCTTTAGTGGTGCAGTAACATTGGTGGGGGATAAAGTGATGTCGGGTTTGGTTGTGTGCACACATGAGTGCGTTGGAGATGTGGTATCTTAGCTGCGGTTTTTGAAAAACGCAGGGGGAAAGATGCTAGCCCCGTTACAGCATTTAAGAAAACAGACGAGGGCGCCAAACGACAGCAATAAACCTGCCCGCAGACTTCCGCTCCTCCGCCCGGCCCCGCCGGCCTCGCTCGGCCGCCCGGC